AGAATGGAATTAGCCGAAAAAAGGGCTCAAAGTGGGCAAAATCGCCAATTTGTAAATACAGTGAACCCCCAGTTCACGTTATTAATCTGTTCCTGAGAGCTCATCGTAAACCAAAATTATCGGAAAGCAAATCAATTTTCCCCCATAAGAAATAATGGAAATCAAATTAGTCCGTGCAAGACACCCAAAAGTATGAAAAAAAAAACTTTTACCACATGAAATATTAAGTTTAATGCAATATAATAATTACAATAACAATAATAACAGGTGGTTCGGACATGTAGAGAGAATGGAGCGAAACAGAATGACTTCAAGAGTGTATCAGTCTGTAGTGGAAGGAAGGCGGGGTAGGGGTCGGCCTAGGAAAGGTTGGAGAGAGGGGGTAAAGGAGGTTTTGTGTGCGAGGGGCTTGGACTTCCAGCAGGCATGCGTGAGCGTGTTTGATAGGAGTGAATGGAGACAAATGGTTTTTAATACTTGACGTGCTGTTGGAGTGTGAGCAAAGTAACATTTATGAAGGGGTTCAGGGAAACCGGCAGGCCGGACTTGAGTCCTGGAGATGGGAAGTACAGTGCCTGCACTCTGAAGGAGGGGTGTTAATGTTGCAGTTTAAAAACTGTAGTGTAAAGCACCCTTCTGGCAAGACAGTGATGGAGTGAATGATGGTGAAAGTTTTTCTTTTTCGGGCCACCCTGTCTTGGTGGGAATCGGCCAGTGTGATAATAAAAAATAATATATAAATAACAATCACAATAGAATAATTGACACTTACCTTTAATGAAGATCTGGTGATGATTGATGGGATGGGAGGAGGGGAGAGTGTCGAAGTTTTTAATGTTTAGAAGGGGAATCCCCCTCCATTAGGACTTGAGGTAGCAAGTCCTTTTCCGGGGTTACTTCCATTCTTTTTTTAATGCCACTAGGACCAGCTTGAGAGTCACTGGGCTTCTGTTGCACAACATATCTGTCCATAGAGGCCTGTACCTCTCGTTCCTTTATGACTTTCCTAAAGTGGTTCACAACATTGTCAGTGTACAGGTTGCCAACATGGCCTGCAGTAACTGTGTCAGGGTGATTTTCATCAAAAAAGGTTTGCACTTGAAGCCACTTTGCACACATTTCCTTAATCTTTGAAGTAGTCAACTTCCTCAATTTCTCTCTCCCCTCCTCTGAAGCAGTTTCCTCAGGTCTGGCCTCTTGCTGTTGAAGATGATCTAGCAGCTCATCAGTGGTTAGTTCTTCATTGTCCTCCTCCACCAACTCTTCCACATCCTCCCCACTAACCTCCAACCCCAAGGACTTCCCCAATGCCACAATGGATTCCTCAACTGGCATAGGATTCCCAGGGTTAGCCTCAAACCCTTCAAAATCCCTTTTGTCTACACATTCTGGCCACAGTTTCTTCCAAGCAGAGTTCAAGGTCCTCTTAGTCACTCCCTCCCAAGCCTTACCTATAAGGTTTACACAATTGAGGATATTAAAGTGATCCTTCCAAAATTCCTTTAGAGTCAATAGAGTATCTGTGGTCACTTCAAAGCACCTTTCAAACACAGCTTTTGTGTACAGTTTCTTGAAGTTGGAAATGACCTGCTGGTCCATGGGCTGCAGGGGAGGAGTGGTATTAGGAGGCAAAAACTTCACCTTAACCCTTTGAGGGTCGACAGGCCCTCTCCGAAACTCGTTCTCAGGGTCGGCCAAATTTAAAAAAAAAAAATTATTTTCTCTTATGAAAAGATAGAGAATCTTTTCCCGATCATAAAGACACCAAAAGTTTGAAATTTGATAGAAAACTTACGGAATTATGCTCTCGCAAAGTTAGCGGTCTCGGCGATGTTTACGCATCGGCGATTTTGCCCACTTTGAGCCCCATTTTCGGCCAATTTCACTGTACTAGTCGACAAAAAACATGAATATTTCGCTAGAACTCCATTTTTTTTATCGAATGGGTGCAAGAAACCACTCATTTATGAAATTCAACTATCCAGTACAGTGGTCAGAATTTAGCAATTTTGCCAATTTCACACAAATTTCAAAAGATGCCAAATTTCCGAATAGGGTCCAGAATAAACAAGAAAGACATTCCTGGCACTAAAATGACATTTCCTCTAGTCATTAGTCATGTCTCAAGGCCCCTCTTATATTCTTTTGCTTTCCACTTTGAATTTTTATTTTCACAAAAAATATAAGATTTACTGTTATACAGACTACTGCATTAGTGTAAAAAATGGTATAAATATTATTGGTGCACTTGTGAAAGAATATTAGACTCACCAGTTGACGTGTATTGCACGCTTGGCACGATTTGTTTACTTTTGAAGTTTGGTAAAAATCGAACATTTCTGCTACTTTGAGCTCAATTTCAAGGCACCTTTCTTTGTAAAACCAGTCAAAATCATCTCAATTTCTGTAATATGTCTTCCATTCTATAAAATGAGACCAAGAAAACTAGAATACAACAATAAATACCATACGAAAATACACTGCAAAGTCGCCGATTTATTAAAAAAAAATGGTCAAAGTTTTTTTTTTCTCATTATGCACTGTGTGCTGCAGGATTTTTTTTAGACTGTGCACACTGACCACATAGACCCATTCTTTCATATGAAGGCCTACCAGCTTTCTCCCACTAGATTTGAGGCCGGTAGAATTTATGAGTACTAGTACGTCAAAAACCCCTACTCGTACGACGTACTAGTACGACGAAAACCCTCAAAGGGTTAATGAAGCTCATGTCCCCATAAAGTTGCTCTGCCAAGTATGTAGTATGACCAGGGGCATTGTCTAACATCAGGAGGCACTTAAGGTCTAATTTCTTTTCAATTAGGTAATTTTTCACAGTGGGGGCAAATGCATGGTGTAACCAGTCATAGAAAAAGTCCCTAGTGACCCATGCCTTAGTGTTTGCCCTCCACAGCACACACAAATTAGCCTTGAGGATATTCTTTTGCCTGAACGCTCTGGGAGTTTCTGAGTAATACACCAATAAAGGCTTCACTTTGCAATCACCACTAACATTGGCACACATCAGAAGAGTAAGCCTGTCTTTCATAGGCTTATGTCCTAGGAGTGCCTTTTCCTCCTGAGTAATGTAAGTCCTACTTGGCAATTTCTTCCAAAACAGGCCTGTTTCACCACAATTAAACACTTGTTCAGGTTTCAATCCTTCAGCCTCTATGTGCTCCTTGAATTCATGCACATATTTTTCAGCTGCTTTTTGGTCTGAACTGGCAGCCTCACCATGCCTAATTACACTATGTATGCCACTACGATTCTTAAATCTTTCAAACCAACCTTTGCTGGCCTTAAATTCACTCACATCACCACTAGTTGCAGGCATTTTTCTAATTAAATCCTCATGCAACTGCCTAGCCTTTTCACAAATAATTGCTTGAGAGATGCTATCTCCTGCTATCTGTTTTTCATTTATCCACACCAATAACAGTCTCTCAACATTTTCTAACACTTGCGATCGCTGTTTTGTAATCACAGTTGCACCTTTTGCAAGAACAGCTTCCTTGATTGCCGTTTTCCTGCTCACTATAGTAAAGATGGTTGATTGGGATTTACTATACAACTTGGCCAGGTCCGACACACGCACTCCACTTTCATACTTTGCAATTATCACTTTCTTCATTTCAATAGTCATTAGCACCCTTAGTCTCGATGGGTTGGCACTAGAAGTTTTCTTGGGGCCCATGGTGACTTATTTTGCAGAAACAAGCACCAAAAACAGTGATAATATGGAATGTACCGAATGTATCCTTAGATGCATGCACACTGGCTGGCTTGTAAACACTGGCACACACGGGGCATTTCAGGCCACACGTGGACACGTCTTGTACGAATCGTATCGCATACCGGGTTTTGTACCGGAAACCGAGGCAAATTTTTTGCTATACATGTATAATGCTTCGGATACCGGATTTATCGGATACCGATGGCTTCGCGAACCGGGGATCCACTGTATAGATGAGGTCGCTAACTTCGTGAGAGCACAATTCCATCAGCTTTCCATCAAATTTCGTTCTTTTGGTGTCATTGCAATCGGGAAAAGATTCTCTATCATTTCATAAGAAAAAATAATTTTTTTTTTTTTTTTGGAAATTTTGCGACACCAGGAGACACCTCAGGATTGGGGGTTGCGGCAGTCAAGGGGTTAAGTATGAAACTCAGTTGGTGTCTAGGAAAATTTAGGTACAGGTGGGCCCCGCTTTACAGCATTTCACTTTACAACATTTTGCTAATGCAGCAGTTTGCAATTATACTCATTCTTCATTTATTCAGACTTTCTACATTAAATATATTCACCACTCACTATAAGCTAAGGACGAAAATATTTTGAGGAAAGTAATATGTGTGCTGTATATGTATTTTTTTAGGCCTAGCTCTATTACTCACTAATATAGGATAGCATAAACATGTTATCAGGCTTATACCTGTATGTGCATTTGAAAGTGAAAAAAAAAAGTTTCACTTCACAGCAATTTTCACTATACATCAGTAGCTCAGAACCTAACCTACTGTATAAGTTGGGCCTGCCTGTAAATATGCTTGGTGTGTTGTGGTGAGAGGCACATACAAAAGTTATTAACCTAAAATTATACTGTAACTGTAATTACAGTCATTTACCTGCCCTAGAAATGTTATAAATGGTGCAAAGGTGACATTAAAATAATATCAACAATGATTGACACAAACTCATTTAGTATGCTACTCACTTAGTGACAAATTCGTTTAACGTCGTCGTCTTAGGAACGGAACTCCGTCGTTAAGTGCGAAGAGGCTGTACTGATTTACTCCTCAGCCTCCAAATTGTTTGCCAAATTCCTTACCAATCCCCTTCCCCAGCCTCCTGACCTAGCCCCAAACCCTCACCAACTCCTGATATCCACCAGGTTACCAGATCCTTGCCAAGACATCCTCAAAACTTGGGAAAAATGGATAACATTTGGATTTCACTTAAAACAGGAATGAATATAATAAACTTTGCCATTACTTACTAGCACTGGGTGAACTGTTTCGAAGAAATGGTGTGATGGATGGGATTAGTGTTTGATAGAGCTCTCCCCGACCCAGCAGGAAGACAGCTTTTAGATTGCCCAATTCTGTTACCAATCCTGCATCCATAACTATTTTCCAGAGTTCCTTAAAAAACAAAAATAAAGTAAATTATTATACAGGAATAATGAAAAATTCCATGGAATATGATGATCAATACAGGAAAGCAAGCAAACCCATTTTATTTCCAAAATGTACACTTTATTAGGTACACCTATACATCTGCTTATTAATGTAAATATTTAATTAGCCAATCACATGGCAGCACTTCAGTTCCTAAAAGCATGCAGTGCAGACAATGTCAGGAGTTTCAGTTGTTCTTCAGACCTAACATCAGAATGGGAAAGAAATGTGATCTAAGTGACTTTGACTGTGGAATGATTGTTGGTGCCAGACATGGTGGTCTGAGTATCTGTTGATCTGGGATTTTCATGTACCACAATCTCTAGTGTTTGCAGAGAATGGTGTGGAAAAACACAAAACATCTAGTGAGTGGCAATTCTGTCGGTAAAAACACTTTGATAATGAGAGAGGTCAGAGGAGAATGGCCAGACTGGTTCAAGCTGACAGAAAGGACACAGTAACTCAAATAACCATGCATTACAACAGCAGTATGCAGACCAGCATTTCTGAATACACAACATGTCAAATCTTGAAGCGGATGGGTTGCAGCAGCAAAATACCACACCGGATACCACTCCTGTCATCTAAGAACAGGAAACTGAGGCTAGTCACAGGCTCACCAAAATTGGACAAATGTGGAATGGACAAATGTCGCCTGGTCTGACAAATGGCAATTTCTGCTGCAACATGCAAATGGTAGGGTCAGAATTTTGGGTAAACCTTTGTAATGTGGTGAAATGGGAGATTTGCAGCATGAATATGCAGCCAACAAATCTGCAGCATGAATGTGCAGCCAACAAATCTGCAGCATGAATGTGCAGCCAACAAATCTGCAGCATGAATGTGCAGCCAACAAATCTGCAGCAGAAACAAGATGCTATCATGTCAACATGGACGAGGATCATTAAGGAATGTTTCCAGCATCTTGTCGAATCCACGCCACAAAGAATTCAGACTGTTCTGGGGGGCAAAAGCACAACCCTACTCAGTACAAGAAGAGTGTACCTAATAAAGTGGCCACTGAGTGCACATACTGCTAGAAAAATTATATGAAATTTATATAATACAATCTGAAAAGCCTTTGAAAATCTTTGAAAAGCATTTCGTAACGACATAAGAATAGAGGAGCACTGCCTAACACTGGCCTACTGGCCCATGCTAGGAACATTTAATTCATACCTACCCATGTACCTGTCCAACTTATTTTTTAAAGCTACCCAGAGTTCTTGCATCAATGCTGCTACTTGGAAGATGGTGCCACTTACCCACAACACCAATGCCAAATTAATATTTTCCTATAATTTTTCTAAATCTAACTTGTTCAACTTAAAAACTACTTGACATTGTATAGTTTAGGTTAAATTATGTGAATGTCAAGCTTAAAATTATTATTTTCTTTTTTTTCCAACAAGTCGGCCGTCTCCCACCGAGGCAGGGTGACCCAAAAAGAAAGAAAATCCCCAAAAAGAAAATACTTTCATCATCATTCAACACTTTCACCACACTCACACATTATCACTGTTTTTGCAGAGGTGCTCAGAATACAACAGTTTAGAAGCATATACGTATAAAGATACACAACATATCCCTCGAAACTGCCAATATCCCAAACCCCTCCTTTAAAGTGCAGGCATTGTACTTCCCATTTCCAGGACTCAAGTCCAACTATATGAAAATAACCGGTTTCCCTGAATTATCATTTTTTTTTTTTTTCATTATCACACTGGCCAATTCCCACCAAGGCAGGGTGGCCCAAAAAAGAAAAACTTTCACCATCATTCACTCCATCACTGTCTTGCCAGAAGGGTACTTTACACTACAGTTTTTAAACTGCAACATTAGAGTGCAGGCATTGTACTTCCCATCTCCAGGACTCAAGTCCGGCCTGCCGGTTTCCGTGAACCCCTTCATAAATGTTACTTTGCTCACACTCCAACAGCACGTCAAGTATTAAAAACCATTTGTCTCCATTCACTCCTATCAAACACGCTCACGCATTTTTTTTTTTATTATCACACCGGCCGATTCCCACCAAGGCAGGGTGGCCCGAAAAAGAAAAACTTTCACCATCATTCACTCCATCACTGTCTTGCCAGAAAGGTGCTTTACACTACAGTTTTTAAACTGCAACATTAACACCCCTCCTTCAGAGTGCAGGCACTGTACTTCCCATCTCCAGGACTCAAGTCCGCCTTGCCGGTTTTCCCTGAATCCTTCCATAAATGTTACTTTGCTCACACTCCAACAGCACGTCAAGTATTAAAAACCATTTTGTCTCCATTCACTCCTATCAAACACCTCACGCATGCCTGCTGGAAGTCCAAGCCCCTCGCACACAAACCTCTTTACCCCTCCCTCCAAACCTTCCTAGGCCGACCCTACCCGCTTCCTTCCACTACAGACTGATACAACTCTTGAAGTCATTCTGTTTCGCTCCATTCTCTCTACATGTCCGAACCACCTCACAACCCTTCCTCAGCCCTCTGGACAACAGTTTTGGTAATCCCGCACCTCCTCCTAACTTCCAAACTACGAATTCTCTGCATTATATTCACACCACACATTGCCCTCAGACATGACGTCTCCACTGCCTCCAGCCTTCTCCTCGCTGCAACATTCATCACCCACGCTTCACACCCATATAAGAGCGTTGGTTAAACTATACTCTCATACATTCCCCTCTTTGCCTCCAAGGACAAAGTTCTTTGTCTCCACAGACTCCTAAGTGCACCACTCACTCTTTTTCCCTCATCAATTCTATGATTCACCTCATCTTTCATAGACCCATCTGCTGACACGTCCACTCCCAAATATCTGAATACGTTCACCTCCTCCATACTCTCTCCCTCCAATCTGATATTCAATCTTTCATCACCTAATCTTTTTGTTATCCTCATAACCTTACTCTTTCCTGTATTCACCTTTAATTTTCTTCTTTTGCACACCCTACCAAATTCATCAACCAATCTCTGCAACTTCTCTTCAGAATCTCCCAGAGCACAGTGTCATCAGCAAAGAGCAGCTGTGACAACTCCCACTTTGTGTGTGATTCTTTATCTTTTAACTCCACGCCTCTTGCCAAGACCCTCGCATTTACTTCTCTTACAACCCCATCTATAAATATATTAAACAACCACGGTGACATCACACATCCTTGTCTAAGGCCTACTTTTACTGGGAAAAAAATTTCCCTCTTTCCTACATACTCTAACTTGAGCCTCACTATCCTCGTAAAAACTCTTCACTGCTTTCAGTAACCTACCCCTACACCATACACTTGCAACATCTGCCACATTGCCCCCCTATCCACCCTTCATACGCCTTTTCCAAATCCATAAATGCCACAAAGACCTCTTTAGCCTTATCTAAATACTGTTCACTTATATGTTTCACTGTAAACACCTGGTCCACACACCCCCTACCTTTCCTAAAGCCTCCTTGTTCATCTGCTATCCTATTCTCCGTCTTACTCTTAATTCTTTCAATTATAACTCTACCATACACTTTACCAGGTACACTCAACAGACTTATCCCCCTATAATTTTTGCACTCTCTTTTATCCCCTTTGCCTTTATACAAAGGAACTATGCATGCTCTCTGCCAATCCCTAGGTACCTTACCCTCTTCCATACATTTATTAAATAATTGCACCAACCACTCCAAAACTATATCCCCACCTGCTTTTAACATTTCTATCTTTATCCCATCAATCCCGGCTGCCTTTACCCCCTTTCATTTTACCTACTGCCTCACGAACTTCCCCCACACTCACAACTGGCTCTTCCTCACTCCTACAAGATGTTATTCCTCCTTGCCCTATACACGAAATCCACAGCTTCCCTATCTTCATCAACATTTAACAATTCCTCAAAATATTCCTTCCATCTTCCCAATACCTCTAACTCTCCATTTAATAACTCTCCTCTCTATTTTTAACTGACAAATCCATTTGTTCTCTAGGCTTTCTTAACTTGTTAATCTCACTCCAAAACTTTTTCTTATTTTCAACAAAATTTGTTGATAAACATCTCACCCACTCTCTCATTTGCTCTCTTTTTACATTGCTTCACACTCTCTTAACTTCTCTCTTTTTCTCCATATACTCTTCCTCCTTGCATCACTTCTACTTTGTAAAAACTTCTCATATGCTAACTTTTTCTCCCTTACTACTCTCTTTACTTTCATCATTCCACCAAATCGCTCCTCTTTCCCTCCTGCACCCACTTTCCTGTAACCACAAACTTCTGCTGAACACTCTAACACTACATTTTTAAACCTACCCCATACCTCTTCGACCCCATTGCCTATGCTCTCATTAGCCCATCTTTTCCTCCAATAGCTGTTTATATCTTACCCTAACTGCCTCCTCTTTTAGTTTATAAACCTTCACCTCTCTCTTCCTGATGCTTCTATTCTCCTTGTATCCCATCTACCTTTTACTCTCAGTGTAGCTACAACTAGAAAGTGATCTGATATATCTGTGGCCCTCTATAAACATGTACATCCTGAAGTCTACTCAACAGTCTTTTATCTACCAATACATAATCAACAAACTACTGTCATTTCGCCCTACATCATATCGTGTATACTTATTTATCCTCTTTTTCTTAAAATATGTATTACCTTATAACTAAACCCCTTTCTATACAAAGTTCAATCAAAGGGCTCCCATTATCATTTACACCTGGCACCCAAACTTTTCCTACCACACCCTCTCTAAAAGTTTCTCCTACTTTAGCATTCAAGTCCCCTACCACAATTACTCTCTCACTTGGTTCAAAGGCTCCTATACATTCACTTAACATCTCCCAAAATCTCTCTCTCTCCTCTGCATTCCTCTCTTCTCAGGTGCATACACGCTTATTATGACCCACTTCTCGCATCCAACCTTTACTTTAATCCACATAATTCTTGAATTTACACATTCATATATCTCTTTTCTCCTTCCATAACTGATCATTTAA